TATCTATCTATCTATCTATCTTAAACAATTCCCATCTATTTCGGTGAGAATATCTATCTATCTATCTATCTATCTATCTATCTATCTATCTATCTATCTATCTATCTTAAACAATTCCCATCTATTTCGGTCAGAATATCTATCTATATATATATATATATATATATATATATATATATATATATATATATATATATAGAGAGAGAGAGAGAGAGAGAGAGATACTTATAGTTTCTTATACTTATAAGATTTATCTTAATAGAAATCTTATAAGTATACTTATAAGATTTCTATAAGATTTCTAAGATTTCTATATATATATATATATATATATTATTAAGAGAAATCTTATATATATTTCTATAAGATTTCTAATAATATATATATATATATATATATATATATATATATATATATATATATATATATTATTAATAGAAATCTTATAAGTATAAGAAACTAGTATAGATTCTTATACTTATATTATTAATAGAAATCTTATAAGTATAAGAAACTATACTGGCTCAGAACTAAATAACTAACTATATATATATATATATATATAATCCAAAATGTTCACATCTATCTATCTATCTATCTATCTATCTATCTATCACAGTGTGTAAATTACTCCCGGGTAATTTTTAACACCCTATTTATCATCTCTCAGTTGCGTCTCTGTCTTAGAGCAGAGTGCGCCCAGTGGCGGCTACGTCAAGGGACACAGTAGCAACTGGGGAAAATTATACTGAGATGTCCAACTCTGGGGAACATCGGACCGATGGCGCACCCTGTCATTGCACCAGAGACAGGGATCAATGCTTTCAAAAGAACAGCAGAACCAACTGCTGAGTTGGCTCGGGGAATTTTTGATCCCTCCCGGGTGTACGCGCTTGGGCTCCTTTCATTAAATTGACCACATGTCACAACCTGACCTCGTGGTGGCGGGGCGGTGTTTTTAGTAAATACAAAAAAGATCTATCTCCGTCCTGTTGGTAACTATCTATGACAGATTGTTTATTATGCATTCTCTCTCAATATGCAGAGAATGGTTGAATTGATGTGAGTTTGTCACCCTGGGCTCATTTCTTTACAGTTGGATACACCATGAGCAGATATGAATGTACGTGAGAGAATCATGGAAGATTGTTGTTATAGAATACAGGTTCGAATCCTGTCGAAGGACGAAAATTTTCTATGAAAATCTCTCGGACATTCAGGCCGGTAAATGTTATTAATACTGTTTATTATAAACAGAGCATTTACTTAAATATTTGTATCTATAAAATGTATGTATAAACATAAAAATGTCTTAAAATAATTGTCGGCCTATTTCATAAATAGATATTATCTTAATATGCGTTTAACCTATTTATAAAATATAAGAAATATCCAATGTATTCATGTCCCGGTGCTGTCAAGCTCGATGAAATCGTTCAGAACGGTAGACATATGTTCTGTTTACGTTAAAGTAAAAAAGGTATAGATTTGGTCGATAAAAAATAATAGAAATAATTAAATGAGTTTAATGATTCGTTTTCTGCGGCATACCAACTCTTTTTCTGTTTATTTAAAGCCGTGAAAATATATGTAGATTGTACGAATTCTTCCCCTAAATGATAATATTTTAGTAACAGTAGTCTTAGTAATTAACCCATAGCTGGAGGGAAGAATTAGATGCATATTTTCCCAAGGGTATTTGCACATCAGTGAATATAACGAATCCAAAAGGATTTCGAACTTGTCTATCCGATTAAAACTTCCGAACCATTATCAATCAGACCACCGGCACATCCAACATTTTTTATTCCCAAGCGGTCACCCATCTAGGTACTGGCCAGACTCGACGTTGCTTACCTTATAAGGTATACAAGTATCCGTATTGAAGTGTGTCTTACTCCTCTGCAAGTAAAGTATATTCTATGACAGACAGATTATATTATGTGTCATGATCGTATATGACGTGAGCGATCAATGCCGTCCAAAGCCTTTCATTATTTAGCTCTTTTCATATCTCTCACCCCAGATCTACCATTCTCGTTCTGGGTAAGACGTTAAACTACATCGGCGTCCTGGGTAAGTATATTTCATTTTGATCTCAGGGAGTCCCCTGGGGTCACAAACTTCCCAGTGCAATATTTTTCCCCCCTTTGATTTAAATTCAATTTAAATGTGAACAATGGAATGATTCCTATCCAAAATATGGGAGGAGAAAGCCAGAAGATGGAGGCCACATCGGCAAGATCATTGAGTAATACTGAAATGTATCATTTCTTGCTACAAAATTATAATAATGATTTAAAACCAGTTATTACAAAAAATGTTTGACATCAAGGCGCAGGTAATTCAGCTAGTATATATTTCTTTGTATATATATATATATATATATATATATATATATATATATATATATATATAATAAAAAGGCTTAAACACTAATATTCCATGGTCATAATTTATTCCATTGGAATCGTAAATACAATCCAATTCATCAGACCTACAAATTCAAAAAGAAAACAGAAAAAAACAACTTCGGAAATAAAAATAGAATTTAGAGAGAGTGTAAGTATGAGAGTGTGGGGCGAATGTTAGAGCTAAAGAGAGGGGTAACAGACGAGAGAAGGTGGGAGATTAAAACCTAACAGAGAGAAGTTTTATAGAGGTGAGTGGAAGGGGGAAATATGAATGTTGTCGGATGTCTAATACATTAAAGATACATTTCGTGGTGACATACACACACCATAGACGATCTAATGTTAAAGATCAGAATAAGAGGGAGGGGCAGGAAAGGAAAGAAGAGGTTGGGGAGAGAGATGGGACGGGGGAAAGTAAAATTGAAGGACGTTTACTGAAAGGGTCGCTGTGTAATTAAGAAAATTTGACAAAATTGATATCCACTACAGGTTACAAATCAAATATAAACATATAAAAAATAAATATAACGATTATCTAATCTAGCAAGGACCTATATTTTTATGTTCAAAAACACATGCGAATACACACATACACAATAACATATACACGTATATACATACACATATATCCTTACTCTGTCCTGGACATTGAGTTCTACCTGGATTCTATCCTCTTGGAATTGTTTATTCAAAAAATATACACGTATGTGTATGCACCTATGTATATATATTTATATATTTTGCATATGTATGTATATTTATATATTAAATTATATATATATATATATATATATATATATATATGTATGTGTGTGTGTTATATAGTAATTATAGATTAATACTGTGTTCCAAGTGTCGCATTACATACGTAAAACTGTGCAATAGTCATACTTTACTAGATTTGATTGTTCCTTTACTTGACAATATATAATTTGGAGTTTTTTATTGGTCTAATTACGGTAGATGATGTCACGTACGTAAATAACCTCCAGATTCTGTTTCAGACGAGCACTTTTTTTTCACAACTGCAACCCGAACGTTGAGTCAAGCTATGTGTGTATATATGCATCGTCCTGGACATGGCTTTTCATTTTAAAAAAAAAATTCTTCAAGAACAGATATAGCTTGTTGCAAGTAACATCACAAGAGAATTTGCGTGTTTGACGAGATGGCTTCCTTTCTTCCCCAAAACGAACCTCAAACACAATGAACTTAATAGCGATGTGGTACGATGTGTCGGTCATTGGCTGAGCTCAAAAAACTTAGTCCTGTTTTGTACTGTGGAATTGGTATAGTGCAATCAGAAGAAACTACCATATATTTTATATGTGTAGGGACCTAAATACATAATGAGTACTTGTGTGTGTGATAAATGAGCAGAATGTTTATATATATATATATATATATATATATATATATATGTGTGTGTGTGTGTGTGTGTGTGTGTGTGTGTGTGTGTGTGCATATGTATCTGTATGTATCTGTGTGAATATATAGATAAAAGTTAAGTGTCTATGGTCACTTAGATAGATAGATAGATAGATAGATAGACAGACAGAGAGAGAGAGAGAGAGAGAGAGATACATTATCATTTTACTCTCTCCGGAGAAGTCGAGTATCTATGGCCACATTGTCAGATAGATAGATAGATATATAGATAGATAGATACGAACAGACTGAGATAGATAGATAGATAGATAGATAGATAGATAGATAGATAGATAGATAGATAGATAGATAGATAGATAGATAGAATAATTATCATTTTACTCTCTCCGGAGAAGTTGAGTGTCTATGGACACATTGTCAGATAGATAGATAGATAGATAGATAGATAGATAGATAGATAGATTATTATTTTACTCTCCGCGGAGAAGTCGGGTGTCTATGGCCACATTAACAGATAGATAGATAGATAGATAGATAGATAGATAGATAGATAGATAGATAGATAGATAGATAGATAGGAAGGATGACATGAAGATTAATAGTCTGATGTCTAAGAATGTTATATAAAAGAACTGACTAGACCAAGAAAAACTTTAAGATGAGTGGGAAAAGGTTGCAAGAAGGGTTTCAAAATCGATATCAACGCCCGTGGCTTCAACTATCAATAAATACGGCGTGTCAGACGAGATGTCACGGCTGATCTGACAGTGGCGACTCAATAATGAGCCAAAGTACCAACGTAAGTGCTTAGCCTTGCTCCCCTGATTTGTCACTGGGTTTGACTGAATGATCTCTACCGTCATTCGTGTAAGCCCCGCCTTTCGCTTATTGGTTGATGAGCGATGTACTCACAGTTCCTTGTCTTTTTCTTAATCTTCTGTCGCCTTACTCTCCTTTTTTCCTGCTCCTTGCTCTCTACTATCATTGATAATTCTGTCATTAACACGAATTTTTGTTTATGCCTTACTTCTTTCTTTTATTTTCTTTTTTCTTTCTTGTCGACAATTCTTTGTGCTATCTATCTATTTTTTCATGTTATCATTCTTTGTCGTTTATAGCGTATCATATGCTTGATTTTAATTTTTTTTTCAACTTACTTTATATTTCGGGACCTTATCACTTTCTTGTTGCTTACGTTGAGAAACTGGCTCCCGTACGATCACCGAAGTTAAGCACCGTCGGGTCTGGTCAGTATGTAGATGGGTGACCGCTTGGGAATGCTATGTTCTGTAAGCGTGGATATGTGGTCTGTGTAATGGATAATAACTAAGGATTGTTAATAGGAGAGCCGATTTCCAATTCCAATCGGGTTCGTTATATTCACATGCGCACAAATACTCTTGGGAAAGGCATGAATCCACCCATTCCCTCTATCTATGGGTTAATTAGTTAAACTTGTATCGCTAAACCATTATTATCTCCAAAAATAAAACAAAACCGTGTACAAAACCGTTTAGATTTTGACATTAAATAACTCATAAAGATTTGCATGCCACTAAAGAAAAATAACCAAACATATACCGTATACTGGCATACAAGGCGATTGATCGTATAAGACGACCCCCAAATTTTAAAGTAGGTTTCAGGCTATATTCGCCGTATAAGGCTATTCCCCTAATATCGTATTTTTTAATCTCTTGTATTTAATTAAATTTGACTTGTCAATTGGCTTTGATTATTCTGTCTGTCTGTAAAGTCCCATAAAATTCTTACAGGTCTTATTTATCCCTGTAACCGTGCCTGGTTGATATACATAGCTTTTTCTTGGAGATTCCTTCGGTAAAAATTGCATATTTTCCAATGTAGATATTAGCCTAATGCCGAGTTTTGTATTCAGCTGGTGCGAACACCGTGCAACCTGATACAAGATGGTCAATTGTTTCTGGATATTTATCACAGAATTAGCATTTCGGATTAACCTAATTTTCCATGATTATTATTATTATTATTATTATTATTATTTTTATTAATATTTCCTTTGATCTGTGTTATATAAATATTTCTTTCAGGGTAGCACAAAAAGACCTAAGGTTAGAAATGACTTAATCAGATTTTTCACTGATATTTTTAAAAAAAAAAACCAAAAACAACAAATCCTGAGGTCAGGTTTTACATAAGTAATGATACATTATGAAATGGACAAAGTCCGACAATTATTTAAGCCTTTTTTATGTTTATACGTTCTTTTTATATATACAAATATTTAAGTAAATGGTCTGTTTATAATAAACAGTATTAAATAACATTTACCGGCCTGAATGTCCGAGAAATTTTCATAGAAAATATTCGTCCTTTGACAGGATTCGAACCTGCATCATATACGGAACCGTCATTTACACTGACGTGCCTTAACCGACTCGGCCACAAACGAGCGTTCGGTAGGCAAGGTCGAATTTACTGCTTATAAACTTCAATCTTCCATGAATCTCGTACATTCATAATTGCTCTGGCGTATCAAATGTAAACAAATGACGTCATATATTAATAAATGGACAAAGTCCGACAATTTATTTATTAAAGACATTTTTATGTTTAACGTTCTTTTTTATAGATACAAGTATTTAAGTAAATGCCCTGTTTATAATAAACAGTATTAATAACACTTACCGGCTTGAATGTCCGAGAAATTTTCATAGAAAATATGCGTCCTCCGACAGGAATCGAACCTGTATCCTATACGGAACCGTCATATAGCCTGACGTGACTTAACCGTTTCGGCCAGAAGTAAAATCAACCTTGCTAACCGAACGAATATTTTCTGTGAAAATTTCTCCGACATTCAGGCCGGTAAATGTTGTTTAATACTGTTTATTATAAACAGAACATTTACTTAAATATTTGTATCTATAAAAAGAATGTATAAACATAAAAATGTCTTAAAATAATTGTCGGACTTTGTCCATTTCATAATGTGACGTCATTTGTTTACATTTGGATACGCCATAAGCAGATATGAATGTAGCTGAGAGAATCATAGAAGATGGTAGTTTAAAGACAGTAAATTCGACCTTGCTAACCGAGTGCTCTTCTGTGGTTCATTCGGTTAAATGCACGTCAGGCTATATGACGGCTCCGTATAGGATACAGGTTCGATTCCTGTCGGAGAACGAATATGTTTTTTGAAAATTTTTTCGGACATTCAGGCCGGTAAATATTGTTTAATACTGTTTATTATAAAACAGAACATTTACTTAAATATTTGTATCTATAAAAGAATGTATAAACATAAAAAATGTCTTAGATAGATAATGATCTTCATATTGTGTAATCTGTATTTGTGAGTACAATATTTTGTATTTTTTTAATGCATGGACTACCAGGAATCCTTTCAATGAATCTATCAGAACATTTTCCAATCAATCCGAGCGATCTAATAACGACTGGAATTGAACTCCTCATGCGGACTTGCCCGAGTGGTTAGAACGTTCGCATTCTGATCATGAGATCCAGGTTCGAATCTCACCATAGCCGAAGACTGGAGGGATCGATCCCAGTGTGCGGCGTCTTTGGAAAGTGCCTGAAAACTATACCACGGGTTGAAACCAAGCCTTGTGAGTGAAATTGTGTAGACGGAACGCTTGTGGGACCGTCGATAACTGTGCTAGCACGAAGTCACCAGTCATCGTGGCCGAGGACTTGAGCGTGCTGGCCTTGTTCAAATTTTTGATCACGCCAGATAACACGCTCTTTCCCAGAAACTGTAAGGTCTGCTCAGATAAATGTAAGCGATCTGGTATTGCAAAGGAAATATTTGTCGAAGATTACTTCCACAACGCAGAGAATAAATCCCAAAGTTAAGACTCGAACATCGGGGGGGTGGAGCAGAAAGAAATGCTGAAAACTCGATTCGAGGGTACTATCTCACAAATCCCAACGCACGCAACCAGCCAGAAAAATAACTCACTCTCCGAAAAGCGCGGTAGCCCAAATACCCGAATTTTCTCTCCCCGATTCGAGAACACCAGCTGCTTTTATCTGCCGAGCACTCTTTTTCATTCGTCAACAACTGGAAGAGGACGCCCAATTTTAGCATATCAAAATACTTTTATAGCGACTCCTGCGATGGACTTGTTTTTAATTTAAATATTCCGTCTTCAGCATGTCATGTGGAATAGGTGCCCTTTTCTATTTTTTTTCTTTTTTTTGGTAAGTAATTTTCTTTTTCGCCACATTTTCCGTCTGAGGATCCACGCGACGCGCTGTCGCTTGGTTTGACGAGGTAAGTCGACGTTTTCTACGCTATAATAAATAATCACAAATGCGCCAGAGCAAGCGTCGGCAATAAGGATTGGCTAGCCACCTTAGAAGACGGGTATCCTCGAATACGAGTGGCCAGATATACATGTATATACGTTAGGTACCTATTCTATTGTAATGGACTCTCCCATAGATAATAAGTAGGAGTAGCAGTGGCAAGTCTGGAGAACGGTGTTGAGCGGTCTCTGACTGCGCACGCCTTCCGTCGAACTCTCTGCGTTAACAGAGAGGAACCCGGACGAGGCTTTGCCGAAGGGCAAGGTTTCGTCCGGGGAGGTAGACAGGGCCTGAACCCGTTTAGGCGGGTTCAAAGGCTATATTTTTGGCCGGGCCTACGGGCTCGGGGATACCCACATTAAAACCGGCCTTGTGCCATCTTCGGTCCTCGTGGGTGGAACGATAAATACTGAACGGTGTTGAGCGCGTCAGTCGAGATTCGGACATTTGAAGTACCAACCATCACAACTAGATTTGCTGCGCCATTGACTCTTATTTTCCAAGTTCCTAACGTTTTGTACGTCGGACCTAATTTAGGACGACTTATTAAAAATACAAGCCTCCACTGTGAAAATACTCCACAACAATATATATGCCACATTTTTTAGATTACCATTTGAAGATCCTTGTATTTTTATAGGTTTTTGAAGATCTAAGATAATTTTTAATGTTATCATTATTATCATTAAAAATAAATATTTAAGAAATGAAAATAAGGATTTAAAAGATTTTACATATACACTATGAAAACTGCCAGCATTACTTAATTCGTTTTACCCATATCATACTTTCCTTTACCGCCAAGTTGTGATCCAAATGCCAAGGTTATTAATACTATCAAGGCAGAATATTCTTTATTTATTAAATATCACCCACTACAAAACTCAGGCAGTGAAGATTACGTGGATATGGTGGATATATAACTACTAATCCTAGATTTACATTGTGGCAATAATAATCACAAGTGACTAGATTGATAACAAGACACAGATAAAAAAAAAACACATTTAATATTAAATATGCAAATTATTTCGCTTGAGAAACCAAGAAACGCTAATTTGGGTAAGATTTTTTTTTTAAGCATTACGCACCAAGCAAGGCGTGAAGCCACTAGGATGCAGGGGGTTGCGGAAGATTTGGTAGGATAGGAGTGATAGAAGAAAGGATGAGGAGAAGGATAGTGGATAGATCAAGGTAACTGGAGGTGTCGATTGACATTACATTTGAATAGTTGGAGATTATAGCTTTCAGGGAAACAGTAATTGGGAAGGGTGTTCCACTGGCGAGAGGTGCGAGGTATGAAGCTATTGGAGTAGAAGAGACGGCTACATTTAAAAGTTTCTATTGTGTAAGGGTGGGAGCGCGATGCCAGCCTCGTAGGGCGCTTGAATTCATGGAGATACCCCTAATTTTATGACATATTTACACAGACACACACAGCGATGAAGAGACGAAGAAATTAATATATTTCAAGAATTTTCAAAGTTTCCAATGAACTGACTTGCAAACTTTCCACTTTATGTACTAGAGGTGCGGACAGACATACACAAACAAACTTTGAGCTTTGTATATTGGATGTCCATAGCCCACACAGTTATATACACGTATGTTTATCCATTTTTAATTCTCTTTTATTTTACTTTAGTCGGCATTGTTTAGTGCCAACAATTCTCTTGAACTGATCAACTGTAATTTCCTGGTCAAATTTAAAACTAACACCCAAGAAACGGAAGCAGACTTATTTGCCTTTAGCTCAACTAAACAATTCGGAAGATGTGTATTTGTCGTTTAAACCTACTACCTCAAGATTTCTACACACACACATACATACACACACAGAGACACACTCTAACTCACATATATATATATATATATATATATGTGCGTGTGTGTGTGTGTGTGTGTGTGTGTGTGTGTGTGTGTGTGTGTGTGTGTGTGTGTGTGTGTACCGTGCGTAAAAGCAAAATTTTACAAATCG